TTGTAAGATCATTGGGTTCTGGTGCTTTCATGTTGTTTTTCAGATTATTGGGTGAATTTTTGCCTTGGCGCCTGCCCATCTCCTCTTATTGATGCTCTCTAATTGGTCTTTTAAAACCAGATCAGGTTTCCCTGCTGGCCAGAGGCTCCTCTTGCAAAATGCCCTCGTTCTGTTTCCTGGCTTCTGCCAGGGGCCAAGATCCCTCTCACCCCTCAGACGGGTCTTCAGGAAAAGAACCAGGTTCCCTGTTTGCCAGAGACCTCGCCAACCAAAGGCCTACCTCTTTGATTTAATTGTCCTGGGGCGATCTGCTCTCAGTGTTGCGCTGGTCCTTGCCACCTGCGTTGCCTGCCACTGTGTCAGTACCCGCCGGTCAGGCCCGCGCCAGCTGCGTCGCCCAGCTCCAGCTGCGTCGCCCACCGTGCGTTGGTTCCGCCCGCCCGCCACCGTCCGTGCGTCCTCTGTTATGTAATTTTAAGTAGAAACTAGGTAATTCATTAAGTTACTTGAATTCCTTCACACCATAATATAGTCAAATGACAATTCAGTTCAGTATACCCTTGCTACCAGCTGGCTTTATTAATTCTCTCTTCAAGGAATATATATATGTTTGAGACAGGGTTTCAATATGAAGCTTTGGAGCCTTTTCTAGAACTCGCTCTGTAGCCCAGGCAGATCTTGAACTCACAGAGATCTGTCTGCCTCTGCCTCCTGAGTGCTGGGACTGAAGGCGTGCACCACCACTGTCTGGCAAGGTTAATCTTTCTATCTGTTCTCTCACCATTTCCTTTACTTCCACTGCAATTGTGCAGATGAAAATCCCCCATTTCACAGAACCCATCTGAATTTATTTTAATAAGAAAAGGTAGAGAAATCTTCCTTGTTATTTTGTTATACAACCTAAATACTCTTATCATACCTAAAATATTCATGAAATTATCATGTCAAAATTGAATGAAGTACAATATGGAAGACTAATGTGGGATTCCCCTTTGTATGCTATGAATATGTTTTATTACCATTGGTTAATAAAGAATCTCTTTGGACCTATGACAGGGCAGAATAGAGAAAGCTGGGAATTCCAAGCAGAGACAGAGGAAAAAAGAAGGCAGAGTGAGAGAGCTGCCGGGAACAAACAAGCGGTCTCTTACTACATAAGACATAGTAAACAACAGCCAAATTCAAAGACTCAGAGCAAAATCTTAGCTAATCTGTACATGTGCCCTAGTTTTTAAGATACACTTAGTAATTGTTGGAATGCTGTTTCCTTGTGAATCATCATCTGATAAATATACTAAACAAAGCCATAACAGGGGAAAGGGATTTAATTTTAATAAGAAGTCAAAAGAATTTTGATATTACAAGCTTATATTCACAAATGAACTAGCACTAGTGGGTTGGTTCCCTTGTGAACAACCAGCTTTATCTATTTATAGACTCACACACGTTAAGAAAGGATGATGATGGATCTTGCTCTAAGGGCACCACACAGACGACTATGATATTTTCCTTTTAAACATGGCTGTCCCACTTCTTATTATATACTGCCTCTTGTTCCACTAACTACTTCTCTGTTGTAGTGATGAATAGGTAGGAAGCTAGACTACTTTCAGATATGGTTCACAGATAAATCAGTTATCCTCTGACAAATTTAAAGGCTAAGTCAATTCAACTTAATATTATAAACATTTATTGACTGCCTACTAACTGCTCTGTTNTATATATACTGTTGACATTAACAGCCAATAGTAAAAAAAAATTCTCCCTTTATCAAGCTTTTACTTTAGTCTGATAGAACTGTAAGAATATGCTAAAGAAGACTCCCACACATTGAATTCTAAAATTTAACAAATGTGAAGTTTAAAAATAGTTAACATTTATTTTACTCAGGTAATATATAGGATGACAGGGCCACTCTAATAACACCGGAGAGATACAACTCATGAACCTAGGTTTTTCCCTAGATAAGCAGGCAGTACATTTCATCATTAATAATAGTTAACTGTGTTTAAGAAGGTTATTACCTGAGTAATTCAGTGTGAAGCATCAAATCTCTGCTTAGTTATGAGATGGGTTATCAGTACTGCTGGTGTTAAAGAGGTCAGATTAAAAAGAAGACGGGCTGGTAGGAACTACAAAGAAGAAAATGAATTTCTGATCCTAGGTTCTAGATCTTACAAACGTACTCTGCCTTTTAAAAATATTTGCTCCAAGCAGAAAGCTCCATTATACACCATAGAAATGATCCTTAGCTTATACTTAGTTGGGTTGTAAGTGTAACTGAGAAATTAAAAAGTCTCCTTATTAGATATTCAGTTATATAGTACAATAAACAATTAAAGAAAGATGTCAGATTGGATCAATAAAATAAATAGTATATGATGGCCAAACAAAAGTAGGTTGTTGTAGTTCCTACCTCTATTTGAACTTATCAGTTACAAAGATTGATGAAAATTCTGTTTGCATATTAAATTATGAGTTAAATACATACAAATAATACTCCATATCATATTTCAAACTAAATTTCAATCACTTTTGGAACTTCTGAAAGTACTTCTGAAATAGGCAAATCTTATTTTTAAAGTGGTGACTTCAATTATCTGCTTTTGGTCAACTGAGAAAGAAAGCAATTTTTAGGAAGACAACATGTTTTGTATGTGACTAAGGAAAGTACAAGGAAAATATGATAAAATGTGGAATACAATAACCATGGAAAAATGAAGTCATGAAAATAGAGTATAATATCCCTTGCATTGCACATGAGTAAATTGAGTCAAGAGGGGCTACATAAAATAGTAATTTGACATGAAAATGGAAGACAGCATTTTTATAGCTCTTTTGTTTGAGATAAGGTCTTGCTTTGCAGATCAGGTCTTAGATTCATAGCAATCTTCCTCCTGTAGCCTTCCATATCTCAGGGAAGAAAGGAGTCTTATTGTTTTGAGACTTGTGAGGAGAAATAAAGAAACCAGTATTTAGTGCAGAACCCAGAAGATGCTGACAGATCAAGATCTTTCAAGTCCAGCATGATTATCCAGTGATTGTAGTCGGAATGTCAAAGGCAGATGCACAACTTAAAGACAGTTATAATGCTGTTGAATCCCACCTCAATGTATTGTTCACCTCTACATGTTACTGGGGAGAGACAACAGTCTCTCATGTAGTTGGTCATAGCAGCTTTGTTTCAAAACATTGACAATCACTACAACCTGAAAGGGGCAGATATGTTATTTGAATTCGCGACTCTGAAGGTTGTTATTACAGTTTAAGTCTCTTCATTTGTTACTGGGTTGCTTAGGATGATCTCTTGGTTTAACTTTGACAATTTGGGTGAATCTGTAAATTTATTTACTTCTTTTAGATTGTCAACTTAATGGAGTAAATTTTTTTTAAATTATTCTCTTATGCATTCTGAATTTCTTAGCTGTCTGCTGTAATATGTCCATTTTCGATTCTATTGATGTGGAAAATGTCATCTGTAGATCTTTTTAAAAAAATCACTTCTTAGATTGATTCTTTGCATTATTTTCTTTGTTTTTATTTAATTAATTTCTGCTTTAATGTTTTTTTTTTTTTTGCCATTAAATATATTTGGGTTTGGTTTGGTCTTGTTTTTCCCAAATTCTTGAATTGTATTATAAATCATTTATTTGTGTTCAGATTTTTCTTTTAATTATAGTTACCTAGGGCTTTAAATTTCCTTAGAACTGTTTTTTAAATATGTTTTAGCTGTTATTGTATGCTGTTGGAACTCCTTCAGCCAATAGTCTTTAAAATAAGCCTATTTGGGCATGGTCTCTTATACTATAAATGCAGACATAAATCTTGCACGTTCTCTCTCAGCTGCTGGATTTGGTCCCTGTTTCCCTGCTTGTGCAGGGGACTGTGATCTGTGAGTCTACCTCTAAATAAAGGACCTTTATTATCCTCAATTCTGAGCTAGTGTGGAAATACTCTATTGCATCCATCTACATCTGGCACCCCATGTGGATCCTGACTCCATGCCTACGGGGATCGGCCCAAAAGGTCTGCAGCCGAGGTCTTCCACTCCTGCCCGCCTGGTCCAATTTCACTTACTAAGTGTTTCTTTGCCAAAACACCATTGCAGTGGAGCTACCTCTTTGGCAGGCTTGTTGCATGGTAACTTGGCAAATTCCTGTGCTCGACACCCCCCCCCCCGCCCCCAGGGACTTGTGCAGCTTCCAGTTTGTGATCCCGGAAAGTGAGCTCTGGGTTTCTGGCCGCCAAAAAACTCTCTCCGTGTACAGAATCAATTTAATTGCTCTTAATTTGTCAAGCAAAGCATATTTGTCAGCATTTAAGCAGGCACCAAGCAGAACCCAGTGGGACTATTCACACTGTTGCTGGCTGCATCTCTCCACCTTGTGGCTGCTACCGCAATACCTGCTGAACAATAAAGATTAATACACCTACAACAATTTACTGAAATCTCATAATGAAGGTAAGTTAATTTGATCAATAAATCAATAAATTTGATCCCAAATAAATACACATAGACTTATAATAAATATAAATTGTTCCATCTATTGTTCAGGCTTATTAGTAACTAGCACTTACAACTTAAATTAACCCATCATTCTTATCTATATTTAGACACGTGGCTTTGTACCTTTTCTCAGTAAGGCATTATAATCTTATTTCCTCTGTCTGGCTCACAACTGGGTCTCTGCCTTTCCTCTTCCCAGAATTCTCCTAGTCCTGTCACCACACATATACTTCCCGCTTTTCGACTGGCCAATTAATGTGTTATTAAACCAATAAGAGTGACAAATCTTTACAGTGTACAAGAGTATTATCTCACAGCATTGGAGCAAAGTAATAATATTGAGACTAATTTTCTATGACTGTTTAAAATTCTTTTATTTTTAATTTTAAGTGTATGGGTAGTTTCCATGAAAGCATGTCTGTGTACCAGGTATGTGCATGATACCTGTGGAGGACAAAAGAGTGTTGAAGGAGCTGAGGGCCGCTTCCCTGCCGCCCCAGCTCCTGGCCGCCTGGCTAGCTTATGCCCCGAAATAATTACACAGAAACTGTATTCTTTTAAACATTGCTTGGCCCATTAGCTCTAGCCCTTACTGGCTAATTCTCATATCCCAATCAACCCATCTCTAATAATCTGTGTAGCACCAGTCTTACCAGGAAAGATTCAGCATGTCTGACCTGGCGGCTTGCTTCATCGCGTCTGCCCTGGGTAGCAGCTGCATGGCATCTCAGCTCACTTCCCTTCTTCCCAGCATTCTGTTCTGTTTACTCCACCCACCTATGTTCTAACCTACCAGGGCCAAGCAGTTTCTTTATTAATTAACCAGTGACCTTCCTCCATCAAAAGAGGGTTTTGGATCCCCTGGAACTGAAGTTACAGATGCTTGTGAGCTGCCATTTGAGTGCTGGGAATCGAACCCAGGCCTTCTGGAAGAGGAGTGTTCTTAACTGCTAAGCACCTCTTTTTGTTTAAAGTACATTTTCCCCCCAAAATAAAGTTTGAATGCTATTTTCCAAAGTGCTACGGTCCTGAAACAATTATGCGAGATGAGTGTCTGAATAGTTATAAGTAAAAGGTTTGACTCTGTTAAATTTTAGGCATTTTGATGTAATCTTTTAGTTGATTTATGTAAAGCTTTGTACTTTTCATTTACTCAAGCTTGACACTGTGTGATGTATGATACATTGTAACATCAAATTTGCTATAAGCAATAGGGCCAGGGTCCCAAAGAAACAGTAATAGTGATTTCTCCATTTTTAATCCAGATCTTTCCATTATTCAGGTTTTTTTTTTTTTTGGTTAGTGATCTCATGTCTAATTGGTATCATTTTCATACTTAAATCAATAACTTACAGCAACATAAAATTTAAGTAAATTAAGTTTGTTATTTTATATTATAAGGTGTTTAAGTATCATCTTTAAAATGTTCACTAACAATCTCTATATTGTGTATTGTGCACTACAGCTTTCTTAGACATCTTTTTCTAATAATTACAGAGGAAAGTGATGTAAATTTGTGTGATATATAACAGAAAGGCATATATAAAACTCTTCATGAAGAAAAAAATGAGGTTAAAAAATGACAGTTCATATAAAAATTAATTTTAAAGTTATATCTAGGTCTCATAGCTGATTCAGATGACAAGATGAAAATGGACCAGTCCACAAGAAATCTGCAAAAGAGTAGAAATGATTAATGCTTAAAACAACTGCTTAAAATAAAGTTGCCACAGAAAGAGAAGAAAGCATTGGAACAATTTAACTGGTGTGGTTAAATGTAAGTATTTGAATTCACTTTCGCTCCATGGCTAGGATACAATCAGGTTAAAAGAAGACGAATGCAAAGTGTATATGGCAGAAGAAGAAAGGTCAAGGGAGGAAGGAAGTAATGGCAAAACAAGGGAGTATCAACTGGTTTTATCTGATAAGCAAGGATGTTCAAAGGGAGCCCAGAGACCAAGACTGCTAAAAGACCTTACAACATTTTGACACATGGTTTGCAGTTTATAGATGATGATCTCCTTAAAGTAGAAAACAGTGTCCAACTGTGGGAACCAACCACTACAAAGAAGCAGTTCTCAACCTGTGGGTTTCGACACCTTTGGGGTTGAATGATCCTTTCATAGGGGTTGTCTTAAGACTTTCGAAAAAACGCATGTATTTATATTACAATTCATAACCGTAGCAAAATTACAGTTATGAAGTATCAACAAAATAATTGTTTTTTTTTGTTTTGTTTTGTTTTGGTTGAAGGTTCACCACAACATGAGTAACTGTATTCAGGGATCACAGCATTAGAAAGGCAGAGAACCACTGCTATAGAGAGAAAGCAACATGGCAGTGAAATTCATATAAAGAGTAAAAGAGCAAGTGGCCAACTCAAGAGAAGTTAGGGAAGACACAACTTTCAAGGGGAGATGGACAGGAGTATGGGATAATGTAGGAAAAACATGTAAGTGCAATACAAAGGAGCTCTTTGCTCCTTCCTGTGGATGCATGGGACTAGCTGCCAGAGTTCCAGACTATGTCCTGGAATAAAAGCCAAATAGCCTGTCCTCCACTGTGTTGCTTTTTGTCAGAATATTTACTATAGCAATGGAAATAAACCAGATCATTCACCATCAAGTAATTATGCTCTTTAATAGTTATACAAATGAACTGAATTTGCATTTATAGAAAATTTGTACATGAATGTTGATAGCAGCTTTATTCACAGTCACCAAAAGTAGAAGCAGTCATAACAAGACACAAAGGGAACCAAATGCATATTAATAACTGATATTAATACATGACATTCTGGAACATCACATTGGTGACCCCTTGATTACAGTAAGCTTATTTGTCTAGATAGAGTAGTCTTCTTCATTTTCTGATTCCTCTTCTCCAAGACATGGGGTAAGAAAGAAAGGGAGGAAAGAAGTGTGAAAAGGAAATGTCAGAGAGAGAGAGGTGGGTAATAAAAAGGTCCTGAGACTTGTTATCATAGAAGAAAGTGAAGAGGAGGCAGAAAGACCTAAGGACCAGGGGATCATGGGGTTTGCTTCTTCCAGGAATCTGAAGCTGCACCCATGACGCCTTACTAACGTGGCTTCCATAAACATGAGCTCAACAAGCAGGACACCACCAGCCATGCTGCTTCAACAAAGGACTTCAGGCAATTAAGGACTGTTGAGAGCAGAAGAAACTGTCTTCCCCAGGGAAGAGCACACCAATTGGTATCCAATAAGAAATGACCAGGCCTGAAAACATACATACAGGCATCTTTCTACAGATTAAGCAAATTGTATTTATGTACTTAAGAAAGTGCGCATGTGTATGTGTGTGTAGAATGAGTAATGAGTGAGACAAAGTGGGAGAGAGGCAGAGACGAAAAGAAACAGAGAGACATAGAAAGGGTTATGTATATAACAACAGGAAGGGGGAAAAAAGACTTTAATTTGAAAGTGAGCAAAGAAGGGTGTGGAGGAAAGGGAGAGGGGGAAGATGATGTAATTACATTATAATCTCAAAAAATAAAAGAAATCATCTTTTAAAAAAGAAAGTGAGGAAATTGGCACTATTAGAGAAGAGTTAACTGAAAATTTTCCAGTTAATCAATGTCCCATTATATTTTTGAAAAGGAACAAAACCATAATGAGAAAAGTTGGTCATAATAATTTTTAAAATGCACCATAAATTTTCAAGAATTGTGTATATAATTAGTTGTTTCGTTATTCCCAGGTACTGAAGACACCTACAAGGAAACAAAAGAAGGAAAATTCGACATAATTCTTAATGTCAATAACACCATATCTCAAAGAAACAACAGTTCTCTGCAGCGGGCTAATGGCCTGTGAAGACAATGAACTACCAAGAGAACCCTAGTGGGTTACATGGTGAAGCTGAGCTTAGAGCTGAACAGTGGTTAAGGGAGGGGCTAGTGTTTCAGGTTCTTAGCTGTGCTCATGGCAGCAGAAGTAGAGGAAGGCTAAAATAAGGGGTCCTTTTTTAAATTTGGAAAGTATTTGGATGGAATAAATAACCCTTTGATGTCACCAATTTTTGATAAAAGGTCACCAATGTCTACTTTTAGCTCAGTCCAATGATCTATAGGTATCCAAACCTGTTCATCATTAATTTTTCTGCGAGATTTACACACATATTTATTTATTTACTTATTTGTGTGTGTTGTGTGTGTGATGAGGTTTGCATAGTAAATGCTTTCACTATTTTTTTTATTTAAAAAAACTACCTCTTCTCATTTTACATACCAATCACAGTTCCCCCTCCCTCCTCCCACCCACTCCTAATTGCTGAGTCATCTTGCTGGCCCTAGTAAGTACTCTTTTCTTACTGACTTCATCCTGAGATTTGGGGAAGCACTGTTTTCCTTCTACTTTTAGAGAAGCCATCTTCATCTGAAAACATCATTGTGATTCCCTGAAACATAGACAGCTTATGCGTGTGCCTCAGGAAGTAAGCAACAAAATAGGACACAAGACCTTTTCCTATTATTGGTGCTTTCTATCATGACTCTCTTTTCCCTTACACAACTTCACTGAAAACAGAGGGTAACTCTCTAGGTCTTTCATACAAATATCTAATACATATCTTCACCTATCCCCAAAGACAGATTCAACAGGCATCTGCTCCATCCGGATCGCCACCAATGTACTGAAAATAAAACTTTGTTTTATTTTCTTGCATTTTTGTTTCATCTTCCATCTTTTTGTCATTTTTCTTATTTATAGTGTCTAGAGAACTTTTCTCTCTCCTTTTTTCCCCTCGAAAGCTTTCCATAATGAAAATCTAACTAACCATCAAGTCTTTCACCAAATGCTCATGCACTGCAACCTGATTATCCTGCTAGATGACTTATTGGTTTTATACTGTCCTTGTCTTCTTAGTGTTTATCATTCTTTTATCAATTAACCGTCAGTCTCTTCAGAATGTAAGGCTGTTTGTGTTAGACAACATTTTTCAAAAACTGTATTTGTAAAAGTATTAGTTGTTGACTGATGTTGAAATCTACTTCTCTGTTCCATTGCCTACTGTTAGAGAATCACACAAGAGAACTAACCTATACCTGTCACTTGTCTGAATCACTGCCATTGGACAGTTACTCACCTTTTCTTCCAGGTGCAGCTCTGAAAGTCGCAGATAAGCCACAGGTGCAAATGCATCAGCGGAGTGTATGACTACTTCTGAGGAGTCTCTGCAACACAGATAATTTAGTATACTTACCAAATCCATACCTGTGGCTAGTCACTCCAGCTGCCAACAGCAGACACCTGAAATCTGCCAATACTAACAAACACGGACACTTTTCCTATGTAAAGGGACCCACAGCTCACATTTAAGTTTCTGCAACTCTCTGGAGACCTCAACTGTTCAACTGCACTTCACAAATGTGCTTGACATGGGCTAAACATTAAGCGTCATTGCTTGGTCTTCAATGTGCCTTTATTTTTAAGACTCGGTGCTTCAGACACAGTCTCAGTCATCCTTCACAAAGGCAAGCTGGTTGAGGTGGAAGGCTCTGGCTGCACGCTTCACACTGTAGGGTCACTGCTGTCAGCACTGCTTATTTGACAGGGTAATTACTGCATTCAGGTAACACGGTACGGACTGCTTGCTGCCTCCATATGGGCACATGCAAATTTACTCAAATTTTAATAACGATACCCTGTAAATATAAATAACTAAGATTATTTGTGAAATTAATAACTAATTATTTTTGTTTATTAATACAGCAATAATGTTTTTCAATTCAACTGAAAATATAAAAATAGAAATTCCAAGTATTTCTTTTAATTTCTCATGAATCATTTCCATTGGTTATATTATTAGCAGTTGGCCATTGCAAGATTGGAAAGCTTATCTTTAACTCTTTTCTTCTTATTATTTTTTTTTAAAAAACAGATTGATTTATTTTCATTTTGTGTGTGTGAGTGTTTAGTCTGCATATATTATCATGTGCATGTCTGGTGTCCACAGAGCCTAGAAAAGGTCATTGGATTCCCTGTAACTGGAGTTAAAGATGGTTTTGAGTCACTATGTAGGTTCTAGGAATCAAACCTGGGTCCTCTGGTAGAGCACCAGATGCTCTTACCTGCTGAACTGTCTCTCCAGTCCAGTTAATTTGACTATATATATATATATTTAAAAATTCAAATTATTTTTATGCTTTTACTTTACTTTAAAACTAAAATGTGTGTAGGTGTGTGCTCGTAACTGGACAATGTCTGTGGAGGTCTGGAGTTACAGGCAGCTAGCTGTAAGGTGTTAGTGCTGGGAGTTGAACTTGGGTCCTATGCAAGAGCAGTATATGCTCTTAACAGCTGAACTGAGCCATCTCTCTAGACTCTTCAACTCTTTGCAACTAGCTTAAAACATATTTGAATAAGGTTTTACTCATTAGAAAGTCATGTAGTTATGAAGAAAGAACCACAAAATACTTGAGTCCAGAATACTAAATTTTCACAAGAAAATGTTTGTTTCATTTGCAAAATGTAAAATATTAAAACTGCATATATGATGATTAAAAACAATACATATTCATGAATATTTACTATTAAAATGCATCTTTGTATATTTGAATAAAATAACATTAAACAGACAATGTTGGAAGAAAAGAAACTTATATAAATTGACCCTTTAAAAATCAGGTTTTGGATAAAAAGATATAACTAGCTTTCACAGATTACATCAACATAAAGATGCTTTCAGAGAGAGAAAGAGGCATATAGACAGACTCACACACAGACATACAGAGAAACAGGAAGGGAACTTGTCAGGAAGAGGGTCTTACTTAATAGACATTCTCTGACACCTTTCACACAGTGGCAGGACTCGTATTTGTGTTTCGTGAACTGCATAAGGCTTGAGTTGCCATAGCTACCAGGTGAAGATGTTGAATTGTTTCACTGTCGAAGTACCACAATGCTGAGATCCTTTCACGACAAAGTGGAAAGCAGTACTTCTTACAACTAGGTGTTTATGAAGACCTTTGTGTTCTCAGAGTCATCGGTCTGTCAGAAGGACAGGTCGAGGATCATTCCTTTGCATTTCTCGCTTTTCGTTCTCTGTGTTTAATCTTGTGTTAATAAGTAAATCTATTCTTACTTTTCCAATTATATTCTGTTTACACAAACATGCAAATTATTTTTTTAATAATAAGCAGCACTGTTTCATGGAAATATACTTCCTGTATACAAAATCCTTTTGTGATCTGCATGGCCATAAACAATTTCTCCCATCTACAAACTTTTAGGAAATAACTTTGCTCTCTTCTATCAAAGTTAATACACAGATATGTTTTCACTTTGAGTTTATAAAAGAAGAAACAATAGGCATCAATAGTGACCAGCAGAGTTTTATAGAAACAACAGACACTCCATAATAAAATGCCAAATAAATTAGTGATGTTAATTACTAATGCAAAAGAAGTTAGGAGAACATGAAAGCAAGAGTCATGAATACTGGATTTGGGTATGAAACAGTTATAGTCTTAATTACTGAGATTATTCCCTTGTCCATTATTAATTGTTCAAAGAATTCAAGTCTTTTTGTTTGTTTTCTTTCAGAGACAGGGTTTCTTTTTGTAGCCTTGGGTGTCCTGGAACTCTCTGTAGACCAGACTGGCTTCAAACTCACAGAGATCCACCTGCCTCTCTGCCTGCCACGCTGGGATTCAAGGTCTGCAGCACCACAGCCCAGCTTAATGCTGGAGAGTAGCAAAGCTAGTCATTCATCAAGCATCTTTTTCAGGAAGCATGAGTGTAGGAGAAACAAAACAAAAACAAAAACAAGACAGGAAATACTCTTCCGGCAGACACAGAACAGAGCTAATAAGGTGATGAACTAGACTAAGTTCCCATTGTCTCATTTACCAACTTTTACCATTTATGGCAGAGGTACCACACTGCTCATAATAAACTGAATCTGCTTCAAAAAAGTTTATATGTAAAAATACCCCTCCCCCAGAACTCAATAGAAATGTCTAGTCTCATCATTCTAACTTGTTAAAGCCAAGAAAGAGGGAAAAAGAGGACGGAGTTAATGGAACCCACGGGCTACTGATGTGGTAGTTTATCAAACGTAGCTGTAATGAAAGATAAATAATACAGGCAATTCACACTTCAGGAAAGGATAAAAGTGTCAGTGTGTAGGCACCAGTTTTACTGCAGGCCGTAATCAGCAAGTAAACGAAAGTGCAATGTCTAAAAAGTTTACAGCTTTCTATGAAGGCCTATCCTTGTCGGGTATTGATTTAAGTATTCTCACGACTTCCTTGGGATTAAACAAATTGAGTGTTTGTGAACTTTAGGGACATGTTCTATTTCTTCCAACCAAAGCTGCCTCAAGCTAAATGCTGAGTTGCTTCTATCACTTAAATTTAAGAAAAGGGAAGAAGCTGAAATGGTATCTTACACAACGATTTTCTTCTTAAATAGAGGGCAATCCAAAGTGAATGTTTCATACTCGCCACCTTCCCCACATACGTGGACACCATACTTCTTAGAAAGCTGAGAATCATGAAAAATAATCGTTAAGATAATACCCTCAAAATACTCATTTAGCAGGTTATCCACTCCTAAAAACTAATTCAGGATACTGATTCTAAAATATATTGTAGGCTACAGAAGGACTATTATAGGATACTAAAAACAGTGAATTTCCAAAGTTGTAGAAAGTCTTTTTAAAAAGTTCTTATGTTTTAATAAGGTTCAGTTTATGAAGCTATCTAATAAAATCTGGAAATAAAAAAGCAAGCAAGCAAGAAAAAACAAAGAAAATAAACTAAAAACCTCCAAAGCAACAAACAAACAAACCAACCCGTTTTATTTGTTTTCACTATAAGCCATTATGTGGTGATCTTGATACTGAGTGCAAGCCCTACGGCTGATACACACTGGGCATCAGTGTTGAGGTCGCTTGCACAGGCTGTCATTGATACTGATCTTTCAGATTCTCTGTAGCAAGTTTTGCCATCACAATTCCATGGCTCCTTGCTTCAGAATGTAATAGCTTTTCATGCTCAAAGGTGCCAAAAGTCCAAATCTTTTCAGCTGGGAGGCAGGAGTTCTTTTCCTTACTATCAATGATGTGACTACTTCCTAAGTCTTCAGTTTTCCCTGCATGTTACAAGCTTATTTGAGGGCTTTTGTACTTGTGCTACTCTTCTGACTTGGTGGCTTCAGTGTAGACCTATGAGCATTCTACCTTCACGTTGAGAGTCAGAAGTGATGTGAATGACACTGGGTGGTAGTTTGAATGCACCAGCCCCCATAACCTCACAGGGAGTGGCACTGTTAGGACTTGTAGCTTTGTTGGAGTGGGTGTGGCCTTGTTGGAGGAAGAATGCCACTCTGGTAGTGGGATTTGAGGTTTCCTACGCTAAGGATACTGCTCAGCCTATCATTTGAGTTCCTGTGGCCTGTAAGATACAGAACTTTCAGCTATTCCTCAAGCACTATGTCTGTCTGCATGTTGCCATGTTCCTTGTCATGATAATAATGGAAGGACCCTCTGAACTGTAAGCCACCCCAATTAAATGTTTCCTTTATAAGAGTTGCTGTGGTCACAGTGTCTCTTCACAGCAATAAAAGCCCTAAGCAAGACACATTGTAAAGCCAAACAGCAGGGAGAGTGTGGAGGAGAACTGGATAGTGTTTTCTATAAGGGCTCCAAAGGGCAAGATAGATAAACTTTTGCCTGGCTCATAAAGCAGAGACTCTGCAGAGCCAAATGATGAGAGGTGGTCCCTATGGGACCAAATAATAGAACAAGACTGCTTTGTCATACCAAACTAAATTAAATTAATGCCTTTTCTGCAATAAAAACCATACAGCAATAATAATGAGATATGGATTTCCGGGTATTTATTTGTTCCGCACTTGGTGTTCAACTGATTTTCTAACAACTTCCCACCATGGACCTTCTAATTTCACCTTTATGACTCACTGGCCAGATTATGTGGAGAGTATATATGATCAATACTTAGATTTTCTTCACTGGCAAATGTCTCATTGAAACTCTCTGTTGTTTTTGTAATACAAAGAATAACTGGAGTGATAAAGTCTGAGGGACTGCTACAGCCTATAGAAGTGATTCTGTTAGTCCCTGTAAAGGTAACATAAGCTGCTATGTTACTTCAACATTTGCTTTCAAGAGGTACACAAGACATCTGTGTATGCTCTGCAATATCCTTAGTTACAGTAAATATTATTAATATTCATTTATCCTATCAACTATCTCTTCAACAAATATTTAGTGAGCAGCATCGAGACATTAAAAAATAAAAAAAACAAAACACTTTCTTTAGTCCTTGAAATTCACCACAAATATAATGCATTCACATTGCAGTACCACAAAATAATGATTAAACCATGATGTTGCCTATATCAACCAATATTTAGAACATTCTTTCCTCCTCTATTATAAATTTACCAATATGGAAATATAGCTTTCTAGTTAAGAAATTTGGATAAAAGCCCTAGTGGTCTCTAAGACTGACAAATCACTAAGTATTCTTACTGAACCCTGATATTTCTGTTGCTTCTCTAAGTTCAATTAGCTTCATGCTATAATACAAGTGAGTTATAAACACCAGTTCTAAGATTCTTGATAACGTTGTAGTATATTCTTCAGAGGTGAAAGTTAATCATATCTACTTTGTTCAGAGAATTGGCACTCTACTAAAATACAAGATTCTTGTAGTATAAAAGCATGGAATATCCATGGTACAGAAAATGTCACTTTCCATAAGTTTCTATAATTTAGGATCCAAAAGTATAGATTCCAGAGAAATATTCATTAAGTATACCTTTAATGCATTTTTCTAAGACTTGTAAATCATGTTTATACTGTTCACACGAAGCAGCAACAGTCCTCATTCATCTCAGTTCTGGCTGCATCTTTAAACTGGAAATATCACATGCTCTACTTAGCTACTCCTTGATAATATTCTGCCAGCATTATTACAAGGAAAAAACCAAATGATGTTTCTTTTTGGTTTAGCATCATAATAAAATTTTGTTATTCTTTTCAAGATTTACTTTTTCCTTTCCTTTCCATTCTTCAAATTTAATATGCATAAAAGAATGTTCTTATCTCCCCACACCCTAATTCTCTAAATACAACAATGAAAACAAGGGCTGAAATCCTAGTGGAGAGCTTAAGTCTGTGCTTCTGTTCTACATGCAGGCTGATTTTTGAAAGTTCATTAATTCATTTATTGTCTTGATAGCTCTACTAAGAACTTTGCAGTTGCAGATTCTTTCATGTACACTAGAAGCATGGCCATAAAAAGGCAGAGAATGCACCACTTTTAAGGCTCTGGTGACCACTTTGCAACTCGACTCTCAAAAACAAGCTCCTCTTTTGCCTTCTATATTCACCTTTCCAATTCCCTCAATATGACTTTGCTAATTTTTCTTCATGCTATATGTACAACCTTCTGCTCAAAATCTTGGGTGGTCAATCACTGTCTTCTCAGTAAAATTAATTATTTAAGTCATAACCAAAGGCTTCCAGCATTCTGTCCTGTCCTATACACGAATATATAGGCACTGGAGTAATTGGCAGATTTGGAAAGACTCTGATTGACTTGAGAAAAAATAAAAAAAAAAAACTTTATAAAGTAAAATTCAAAGTGAGGGACATAAGACCCAAATGAGTCTCCTTCTCTTCAACATAGACAATCAGTCTATGGTACCTTATCCTGCTCTGAGACTCATTATGGATCAGATGTGAGCATGCCCATAAGAAAAGCCTGACTGGCATGCACTGACAAGTTCAGTTTGAACAGGAAACAAATAGCCCCTGTCTATCAAGAATAAGAAGGAAAAATCAGTGATGTCTTTTATTCTACCCTCGGGAAAAATTTTCCATTTTTCGAGATCTAATGCAGTGAACAATCAATGTTTTTTATTAGCCATTGAATAGGTAATGTCACTATTTTCCTCCTCCCTCACATTTAATTATTTGGGGAGTTGAGTTAACACAGAAATTTATAGAGATCAAATGGCCAGTGGGTAAGATGAACACACTTGTTACTTTTCTGTATTTTGCTTGATTAAGAAATAAGTTGCTATTTTCTAACCAGTTACACTGCTTTTCATAAGAAGATAACTTTTATATATGTATTAATGTAACTTTCACTGCATAAAAACATGTTTAATGCTTCATAAATATTTAGATCATACTGTCCTCTAGATAACATTTTTTGAGTAATATTGGTTTTTCATTTCATTATTAGAGTAAGGTTTTTAAGAAACTGAGCAGAAGTGCTGATCTTGAGCCATTTCATGGCTCATAGAAATATTCTGGAATCTCAGCATTTAAAAAGCGAATTCTCAACATATGAAAAAGGAATGACTTACATGAGTTTGTTTTGGGGGCATGTCTACTTACATATACACATTTACAATAATGTTATATGTAGAAAAGTACAGAACTAAAGTTAAGGGGTTTATAATCTCCATGTTTAAATTTTTATCCCCTTAACATATAATATTAACATTAACTATAAAACTATTATTTATTAAATCACGAAGCTTTGTTTTTAAATAAATCCCATTTTCTGTTACTCAATTTAAGATGGGGAATGCCAAATCAAATGGACTTCTCATTCACTCTCACCTAGGAAGCCCACAGGACTTATACAAAGCAACACAATTTCATTTCACAGATGGTGTTTTTAACATATAATTTCATACTGTATACATAGAGTCAGAGGATTTACTTCTTTATTGGGTATCACCTACTACTGGCTTAGATATAGAGGTTTGCAGTGTGACCAGACAAACATCCTGTAAAGAAGAGCATACTGATTGTCTGTTCATGTTAGCTTCCTCAAGGTATAGAGAGGGCACACCTGCAATGGAAGTCCCATGCTTACTTTAGAGGAAGGTCAAAGCATTCCTTCATTGGCTGCTCTAGGGACAAGAGCAAAGAAGGTCAGAGTGACTTTTTTTTTGATTCTGCTCAAATGTCAAGGTATCTTGTTTTGAGACGTTAATTTTGAATGCCATCAGCGTGAATGATTAGTGAAATGTATTTCTGCATTAGGAAAATTTTTACCTTTCTACATTAGAAAACTGAGTGGATGATCGTCTGCTTATTGCTATCCATTTATTGTCAGAACCCAACTGCTCTACAGTTTTCCAGTTTATGTGGTCTGTAACGTTATTCACCTCTCATGTCTTTCTGACAGCCTTCCGTGGGCTTCCAGATTACTACAGATTTGAAGACACTCTTTTCCTATTCCTTTTCCCTACTGCTGTTCCTAGGTTACACATACCCCTTGATGAGCTCTTTGTAGTAAGCTCTTTTGTCAATACAGTCCCTCTCATATGCATTACTCTCTGGCTTCTCCAAGGCTGATGTTATTCTCCTGCTGCTAACATTACTGTTCATACTACTTGTTTTGTGGCTAAGGCAGAGTTATTCCTATTTTAGTTAGACCTCAAAATGACTTCTGAGTAGAACAGTTCATTCTCTGAAATCAGCTATTGATGTGGGATTTCCCTCTGTATGCTGTGATTATCACTGATGAAGAATGAAACTGCTTTGCACCTATAGTAGGGCGGAACTTAGATAAGTGGGGAAAACTAAACTGAATGCTGGGAGAAAGAAAGGTGGAGTCGTCAGAGGAAAGCCATGTAGCCCCACCAGAGACAGATGCCAGAATTTGTATCCTCATAGGTTTCTTAGATAATTAACTAGTCATGAATGAAGACCACTTAGCACATGATATGCACTCAGCATTGAGTTACTACAAGGCTCAACTACGAGAGACAATAAAGTTCATGTAGTAGGGAAGAATGAAAGCAATGTTCCACAGCTGCTTGACAAAGAGACCAGAAGCACGTGAGGATTACTCACCTACTACGTGCAGTACCGACAAATAACAACCTTAGCCTTCTGTCTGACCATCTCAACTGCACGCCAGTCTCATTGGTTAAAAACATTTGTCTTCGGGGTATATGTTATAACATGAAATCTAGTCTGTTTAAGATTAAGTTTGTGGCTGGGCCATGGTGGAGCACACCTTTAATTCCAGCACTCAGGAGGCAGAGGCAGGCGGATCTCTGAGTTCAAGGCCAGTCTGGTCTATAGAGCTAGTTCCAGGACAGGCTCCAAAGCTACAGAGAAACCCTGTCTTGAAACAAAACAAAACAAAAACCAAGCTTGTCTTGATTTTTCGCTAAACCCTTGTGCCTTCTATAATAATAAGTGCTTCTGATTACCTTCATCACATGTGAGCAATTGCTGATATTGTGTGTAACTGTTGGTTCTTCATTTTTCAGCTTGTGCAAATTTTGATGCCAATGTCTTTTCGTCTTCCTGTCACATTAGTCCATATAGTTCTATCATATTTGCTTCCTAGAAACAGTTTCGTGGACCTTACTTCCCATATTTCCACTGCTAGTTTGTGAACAGCTGCAGACTATGTCTCCTCACCTTTCTTTTAATAGCATGAATTGCTGTTGAGGAGTCCTCTAAATCTTATTCTCATCCTAAATTGCCTGGCCTATACCGGAAGGCCCTTCAAGACTGCCCTACATTTCCATCTTACCTTTTCCTAACCAATCTATCAACACCAGTTTAATTTCATTTAGATCAAGTTTCTTCTTGTCTCTGTGTGCCTTCCTGCTAATGAGTCTTCATTCATATTGATTTACTTGTGGCCACTGCCCAGGTAAATTTCACCCATCATTCAAATCTGTTTAAGATCTTATCCACTATTCCACGACCTGTGGCCCTATTCCTTCTAACAGCTCCTACCTGTGCTTACATTAGGAACCAGGTTCCTATCTGATACAGGTTATTAGAGTTTTTCTTCCCTTACTTGCTACAGTACATATTCCATGAAAAACGCAAAATGTTCAGTTTGTTTTCCTCCCACCTCAGCAGTTTGCACAGAACTGGTAACATGGGTTGATTCTGAAAATACTCAACATTCAATTCCACAAGGATCACATGACAGTAGAGACCAAGAGCTCATTTACAATATACATTTAGAAAAATGTGCTGGCCACAAATTAGAACAGCTGGGAACTAACATGACTTTTATGTTTCTCTTTAAATACTACAATCAGGTATTGCTGCTCAAACTACTTAATAATTGTTCTCCCTTCCTCGAAAGTCTTCATTTACTGCCCCAGTTTAGATAATTAATCCTTACTTCATTATTCTAAACATTTAAACATGTGGTTCTATTTCCCCAGAAAAGCTTAAGTTAAGATATTCTCCCAAGATAGGAGACTGATGTCTGAAGAACTGTTTCTTCTGCATTATGTGTTGGTATACAGTGAATAGCTAAAATTCTGGGGACCACAAGTGTTTAAATTTTCAGATTTTATTTTCAGTTTTTGCAGTCTTTATATATATACATAATGAGATATTCTGGTTTAAGCTCTAAGTGTAAAGATAAAATGTACTGCTTCATATACATATGTGTATCATATTTATACATGGCTTATATGTCATTTTTGTGTCTGAATATTATATAACAATATCCTGGTTTACCCATAATCAACATCTTCACACTTTCTAAAACATTAAGAACATTTTATTTTTCTCATAGAATTAAAAACGCCTTTAAACAGAAACACAGAATTGGACATACTAATGGGGTATCATATAATACTTCAAAATATGTGCGTATCATATATTTTAAGGGTAAACAAACTTATATTCTCAATTAGCTATATTTTTATGGAAAGCAGTCAAATTCCTTCCACCCAGGTTTATGGAACACATAGTACATTACTATTATCTAGCCACCCTACTTAGTTGGTTTTGCTGTAGAGTCCTTCAACTCATAATGTCAAAATCTAGAGAGGGCTTCTAAAATTTTTTTGTCAAAGCCACAGTCGTTCACTTCCTTTCTTTCACTTTCTAAAACTTGACTTCATTGTATGTCAATATTGCTTCAGGAGAAAGAAGCTAATTCAATCTGGTGGCAGTGAGTAGATACGACTACAAACAGAACCATGGCCGTAAAACAAATGGCTGCAAGATGCTTATGCGCACACAACAAGCAAGGAAATAAAAATCTCAAATGACACTAATTTCTCTAGAAACCAAACATAATTCGTCATAAGTGTATACTTTTACTATTTTTCTTTTCATCTTTACTCTCTGTTTGTCACATAACAAGTGTGTAGTTTCATTTAATCAAAGAAGGAATTAATATTTTAGGGACTTTTAGGTATTTGGTATATACTGATAAACCACAAAATATCCAATTACAAATAATTCCAAGGAACAATATAAAGTTCATGGAGTTATTGTGGAGAGTTGCAACTCTTGCCATACTGTTCTCCTTGACAACACCCAGAGACACAAGGAAGTGAGGTATAGAACAGGAAACTAGGCAGAGCCCAGCTCTCCCATAAGAACAGTCACTGTCTATCTCTATCTTGATTGTAAGTTAAAAATCTCACAATCTAACAATCAAACTGCTTCAGTGACTGAACCTGTGCTGTATCAAACCCAACACCTGTCCTCAATCGCAAAAGCAATTCAACAGAATTAACAGGGAGAAATAATGAAATAAATACTATTTTAGTATGTAGAACCCACTTTGGACTTGACAATGGTAAAGACAAAGGGGGTTATCTGAAATGTTGGAATAATTCCTTTGCTTTTGGAAAGTCTTGACTAGACACAGTGAGCTCCAGGAGAGCTGAGTCAGTCAGCCGCTGGTAGCTTTGGTAGCACAGCACTACTCAAGCAGCTTGTGGGTCCCTTTTAACAAAGCACATGTCCTAAGGGATTTTCCTTCGTGCTGACTTACCCAGCAATTACAGCCTCATTCTAGTTTGAGTCAACAAACTGGTAATCATTTTATATAAATTTAAGCACACTTCTATATATACTGTGAAGTTTAACCTTTTCACAAATCATAAAATGAATTCATCTAAGCCTTTCTAAAACAAAATCCATTCTTATCGTCATTATGCTATGATAATACCTTCCTCCTTCAGATACTGATATTTCAAAGATGAACATAAATTCTTACCTCGAAAAGATAAGGCTCCATTTCATTCAGGGTTTTCCCAAGATGCTTATCAGGATCTAAGCCTGTGGAAGAAAGGCAAAGTTTTCTAGTAAGTGTCAGAGTAGAACTGTAAAGGCAGACTTCCCTTCCCCTGATCCTGTCTCTCCTAGGAAAGCAATGTGTATGTATCTTATATTGTTTTGATTTTAAAGTTAAATGTACTTCACCAGCATTTACTTTCTTATTTTCCTAAGATAGCTGGATTTCTTGCTCCTAAAAAAAATAAGATTTAGTTTATTTCAATGGGCAGATGCTTCCTTCAATTTGACTTTCTTTTTCAGGAATTTTAATTAAGATGAAAATAGTATAATTTCAAAGACAGAAAATGCAAAATCTCGACATTTTAGTTGTTATGATTTATTTTATTTAAATAAAACTGTGTGATTTGTCTGTTTTATTCTTATTTTAACTTTAAATGTAATTACAGAATAATAAAAATGAAATAGTATTAGATTGCTACACCTATAAAATTAGTTCACTTAATAATACAATATGATACACTTGTATTAAGAAATCAAATCATAGTTATTCTCAAAACAATGTGTCTATTTAAATAGACTATAATTCTTTACCAAGAATATCCTGATTTCAGTAATTAAAGTGTCTCCTCCATTCAATACGATAATATAGGTACTTTTCTGTGTATAGTAATATTATGTCAGGCTTATATGTTACTCTGCCCTCAATAATGCCTACTTAGGTCTTTTGCTTCTCACACCCAGCAGAGAACTCCATCAGACATTTCCACATTTGTTTCATTTTTTTTCCTGTTCATTAGAAAGTGACAAGTCATTAGGAAGCCCATGATTACTATCCATATGAGACACATTCAGGTTGTTTGGAGAAAACATTTCTTGGATAAGAGCCAGAGACTCTAGGGATTGACGCTGATGTCCTTGAGAAGTTGATGGGCTAAGCCTATTGTTATCTTTAAATCAGCCCAGGCTTCACCACAGAAGCATTATTAGTTGTGGATGTGGGAGGAAGACTATCTGTCCTCTTCCTCCCAAATAGTCAGATGCTGAAGAGCTCTCAATGAACTCTAAATTCCTAGAGCACCAACGGCTCCTTAGTTATTAGTAACATGCAAATTAAAACCCAATATAATTGAATTTTTAATTTTCTTACATTTTCACATATTTTACCTTTCAATATCCAGTTTGCATATAATTGACTTTTATTTATGAAGAATGTCTTAGAAGTAAATATCTGGTAAAATGGATCACCTTAATTTATAAAATTATCATCTAATTTTCAATAAATTTGCAGCTCTAAGATTTTGGTCTTTTGGTTGTTTTTGTTTGTGTGTGTGTGTTCATGATTTTTTTTCTGTTACTGAAAATAGATTTGTTTCTCACACAGTTTTCCCTCTTTCTACTCCTTCCAGGGACTAGGACATTCTGACTGGATGTTACTTTCAGAGAATTCTAATATTCAGGAATGCTTATAATTGTGAATTGAAGTGTAAGATTAGCGTCATTAAAATAAATTCATCATTGACCTTCTTTAGAAGTTTTTAAAATGATCAAGTCAATGTTTGAGTTGAAATTAAACATGAATCTTGGAATGTTTGAATCACTTCTGAGTTTAACTTGTTGGCTTTGCTGGAAGAGGGGGCATCTTAACAGTAGTCTTGATACAGAGCTTTGTTTGTGTTGAAATGATTCTAGGATGTGATTATTTGAACTATTTGAAGGTATACTAATAACAAGAATTTGGTAATGTTCAAATCCGTCCTATATAGTCATTTCTTTTAAAATTGAGTTTTAAATGACTAATGCATCTGGTCTAAAATGTACAATATTCCTTCTCTTAAAAAACAGCATCTCTATCCAACACAATGTCAGTTGTAATTGAGAGATCTGTGTGGTTACATGTTTCTTATTTATTTTATGTAAAGCAGTATTACATCAAACACTTAGGGATATTATGAAAAAGACAGAATAGCTCATATATTCTTTTTTTTGGATTCAAAAAATTATTTATTTAAGGGGAAAAAACTTACAGAGCACCATCCTACACAACAGCCAGGAAAGGAGTCTAGTGTCTGGAGCAAGAGAGTGAGCAGAGGTCTGCTGCTGCTTTTTAAAGAGAAAGAGACCATGCCCCAGTAGGCTGCTATCTCAGTGGCTATTGGCTGAAGAGCAGAAGAAGCTCCCACAGTACCTTCCCTTTTTGTTTAAGTAAGAGAGTTCAAAACCTACTATGAGATTATATACAATAAGAACAAATATCCTATTCTTGTATAATAAATAACTTGGCCAAGTCATGAGAGGAAAGTAACTACATTTCTATAATCTTCAACCCCATTGAAGATCTGAGAGGGGAAATAATGTTACCTGGGTAATTAGGAAGTGCAATCAAACGATTCCAAAATATGCAACAAATCACAGAGACAATTGGCTACTTGGGCAATCACCCATCCAAAAGCTTCAGTTCATCTCACTCCGCAAGAGAGACCTTGCTTGCTTAGATTCATTCTATTCAGTGACTGTTAGCCACGAAAGCCTAGCTCGTGAATAGTCACAAACTGCACTTCACTGAATCTCACAGAATCTTTTTAGTTTATTGTCTCCAATAGTCAGCTCTGGAATGCTGTCTCAATGTATTCATGTTCCTAAGAACTTCAGTCAGTGAGCCATTTATTAATGTTGATATAAATAGTGATATCAAGAAATAAAATATTAACAGAGAAGACTACAGTCCAGACAATGTAGGATGTCATTTCATTTCAAGAACGTTTTAATTCACAGGCATGAGATTATTTTAAGTTACTAACAAGATTTTCTCCAAAGTATAGGAAAAGATTTACTGTAAATTCTGACATCTAACCATTCAATCATACTTACAGACATTCCTTGATGGAAGCTGGGTGGGTGAATAAACCCACAACAAGACCTAGGCACTGGATAACTCCATGCAGAATTAAGAAATTAATTAGGAGGAAGAACTATAATTTGCAGAGCTGACATCCATTTTACTTTAGTTGCATGTATCAATGGGAAGCGATTACAATTCAATTAAAATATTCAATTTTATTACTTTACTGACTGACCTTGAAGTTAATGCGTGCTTTATTTAATTGCATCATCTATGAATAAATGTTAACCCTAAAATGTTATGCCCCATTATTTTCAATGCAGTTTTCAACATCTCAACTGAATTATATCGGCCAATTTATTATCTACTGGCATGAAAGCAAGTGGAGGTTTATTTCTTCAGGACAGCCCAATATACGGTGAAGGAAACATCACGGAATAGTTGATAATGCTATTTTTAACAAAGTCCAGTGAAATGAATCTTATTCCCATCTTAACTTTAGCAGTGCACACTTTTAACTGTAAAATCGCTATCAATATTAGAAAAGGCATAATCAATCTGAGAAGCAATTTCCGACCTGCCTATAATTTTTGTTTAATACATTGTAAGCAGGAACTGAGAATCTAATATAACTTCATAATTAACACACACACACACACACACATCACATAATCTCTTGCTGTCTCTATCACATTCACGAGTTACCAGAACAAGTAGTCTCATTTTGTAAAGTTTAGCTTTTAAAAAATAAATGTAACATTTAGTTGCTCCAAGATGTAAAAATCCTACACCTTTACAACATATTTGAGCATTCAAGAAATGGAATGAAAAATTTTTTATTAGAAATGACAGATAGGAAAAGACTGGTTATATAATCTCTGAAATAAAATGAGCTGACACCTGAAAGTGAATACTCGAGCAAGGACATCATTTCAACATTTATACTTTTCATTTCTCTAATTAGGCCGCCAAATTCTTAACTATCTTAGTCACTGTGTGAAGGCTTGTTTTAACATGGGTCTTCTTTCTTAAATCTATAAACTGAGATTTTTAACAACAAGGAGACTCATTTTTAAGGAATCACTTTAAAATCCATGGTATATATTAAATGAATGGCCAGTAAATCACATTGAGTATAACTATGTAGTTTTATAATCAATACTTAACTAATAATGGACACAATTTTCTGATTTTCTACTTTAAAAATATTGCACAGTTCTTAACATGGAAAGAACAAATAAAAATAAAAGATGTGCACAACAGAAGGGGCATACTGGAAATAGCTCTTTAAGAACACTTGTTCTTACTAGTTTTAAACATGAGGACTGCTGGAACCTGGAAACCTGGTAAGGGTAGAGGTATTGGGAAAGCAAAGAGCTAAGGGTAAAAAACAATGGATGGATGGATGGATGGATGGATGGATGGATGGATGGATAGATAGATACATACATACATGCATACATACATACACACATACATACATGCATACATACATGCACACATACATACACACATACATACATGCATACATACATACATACATACATACATGCATACACATATACATACCAGTCCTTATGGTTTTGGTTTTTACTATGGGAGTTTATAGCTGAATTACAGAAGACTGATAGATTCTAGCAGACTGCGCTGTGATCCAGTCGACCTTTGATCCAGTTTGGAATTCAGAAAGGTCATTCTAGCTTCAGCCCACTTCCTTCAGTGGAAAGAGGACTGGAGGGAAGATGGAAAGGGAATGAATATGGCACACCAGAGATGTAAGTGAGAGAGGCTGTACTAGAACAAAACCATTAATCAGAAAGGAAGGGAACAAATTTGAGGGCAACACATGGTGGGTAGGAGACAGACAGTACTTGCAGAACTAGTAAAGCGGCAGAGAGAAAAGTGCAGATGATTCACAGGTTTTAAGTATGGAGTAAATTAAAAGATAATACTACCAGCTACCATTACTTCAGATGCAAAGCAACAAAGCATGTAAAATTTGGAAGGGAAATGCACGTAAATATCAGTCTAGGAGCATGCGGCATTTCCTAACACTCGCCAGAGAAAAGACATCTGATTGGCACTGAGGTAAATGGGGTCAGAGCCCAGCAGAGAGGTCTGGATGGAGATACAGAAATAGAAACAGAAGCTGTAGATGAACTGACTGTAGGACAACACTATGTGAGTCAAAAAAAAAATACAG